GGCTGCAGGTGGTATTTCTGGACGAAGTGCAGGTGGTGGTCGATTCAAGAGCTTCCTGAAGCGGTCGGCCCATTGTTTCCCTTGTTTCTTTTCTTTCGTAATTAAATTTCCTTCTTCATCTTTTATTGGTTTCATCTGTATTGATCTCTTCCGTGATAGCAACCTGGTTATTTGGTACAATGTCGTCAGGTCATCCTTACCTGCAGCCTGTTCTGCTTCGCTTGCCGGTGTTTCGTAGAAGTGTGATTTGTCTTTCCACCCACTCTTCTTCACTTCTTTGTCCGGTGTTTTATACATTGTACTCAGTTCCTCTTGTCGTTGAGCGTCCTTGCACTGGTTTATCTTCTGCTTCACCATCCTCCTCTCCTCTATCAGCTTCCAGGTATCCGTCGAAATCCATTCCTTGTCTTCGTTCTTCTTCCTTCCTAATACGGCTGTGCAAGTTTCTTTCCATATCTCTTTCAAAGACTTCCAGTGTTCTTCCACACAGGTTTCTTCAGGGATGTTCCTCGATATCTCCCATTTTGTCTTGATGGCTGGCTGCCGTGAAGATCTCCTTTGTAGTTTCATCCTTCAGTTTCCGAGTGTTGTACTTGAATTGAGGTCTATCACTAGCTTCCTTGAAGACTTTTAACTTGATTTGGAACGTTCCTTGCACTAGATGGTGGTCTGAACCCACATCTGCTCCTCTCCTTGACCTTGTGTTAGGTAGACTGTGTCTCCATTTTCTTGAGATTGAGATAAAGTCGATTTGATTTTTAGTGTGTCCATCTGTTGAAATCCATGTCGCTTTGTGGATATCCTTGTGCCTGAACACACTGCCTGACTCCAATCACCAAATCGTTGAATGCACAGAATTATGCAAACAATTCTCCATTCTCATTCATTTCGCCTAGTGCCTCTCGACTCATGGTTAGTTCTCTTCCTGTGCTGTCCCCTCCCAGTTTGGCATTCATGTCGCCCACTAGAATTTTGATATCGCCAACTGGCGTCTTGTCCAGTGTTGATTGAAGTTGTCTGTAGAATTCCTCATTCTTCTCTTCACCTGCGTTATCTGTAGGTGCATAGCATTGTATGATTGTGACCTTCCTTCCTTTTGAGTTGAATCTTGCTGTCATGATCCTGGAGGAGATTGGTTCCCACTGCATGAGAGCCTTCGATGCTCTTGGGGACATCATGATAGCCACTCCACAACTCAGCGTGCTCGTGGTTGTCGTCTGGGTGACGATATCGGAGTAGATTATTGATTCTCCGGTTGACAGTTTGGAAACTCCACTCCCATTCCATCTGCTTTCGCAAATCCCAAGCACTTCAGTATGATACCTTCCCATCTCCTTTGCAATCTGGGCTGCCTTACTGGGTTCGAACATCGTACGGACGTTCCATTTCCCCACGTTTACTTTCGCTTTCATCGAGGGAGTGAAGACACATCGGCCAATTGGCCTCCCTAAGCTTTCACCAACTGGCGTCATTTCGCCTCTCCGATTCCAGAGAGGAATAAGTTTGTTTTTATTTTTTATATATCGTTTGTGCTTTGAAGTTTCTTTGGCGGTTAGATTTGTTTTCCGGGGTAGGGTTGCTAGCCCTACGCCCAACCTTCCCTCTTTGCCCGGGCTTAGGACCGGCTAGTTACTAGTGAACTGATTAACCAGGCGAGGTTTTTCATGAAATAGTTGTTACATATATCCCACGCCAGCTTTATGGATGTGACCAGTTTTAACTAAGTAATGGCTTATAGTCCAGCGAAGGGACTCCTGGTAATATGCGGATATTTCAAGTGTCTTATCATGAATCCTTAACTGTCATTAATCATTGAGTGCTCTGCTCGGTGGAGGATATACGTTCACCGTCATGTTCAACCCTGTGGGCGGCCGTCCTCTGTCCGTCTCGTAGTTTCATAGCTCCCAGGCTGCCATAACATTTCCGGGGGCCCGATTTTTGTAGTTAAAAGTAGGTTGGAAAGGAATATAAGAGGATGCAAAGGTATTGTGACAACTCACCTCGGCCAAGAAGAAATCCATGTAATGAAATTGACAGATATGTCCAGTGTAACCCAACACTCTTTATTGGGTCTTTCGGTGCTCGTTTACATTCTAACAATTTCAAACACTAGGACGTAGTATTCCAAGCAAGGAATTCTTTCGGTAACATGGAACCTGAGTGAGCACGCAAATGCGACGTCATGCCGAAAGTTATTTAATTTGCAGAGGGTAGACTGGGACCAAAGAGGAGTTTTCTAAGTATCAGTCTGAAGTTTTTCGAGAAAGGTTATAAATTAGGAGTGAAAGATGCAACGTGTCGGCAGAAATGAGAAGCGCCTAGAATGCACAGGTGAGAAAACTGGACGGACGTATCTGCCGGATAACCATCGGAATAAGTCACTCGTGGTTAGATATCGCATTGGGACGATTCACTTACGAGGGTCTCACAGAGGCTTGTGAGCGACTTTAATGATATAAAATATATAGTTTGTTCCGATCTTCTCGGTAAGACTCAACAGTCTCAGCGTGTGCATCATACATAGCAGTTGGCTGATGTGGTGACCCTGCAAATTTTCCGATAAGCTGCCTTCATGCATCCCTTTGTACGGAATCAGGACGTGGTGGGCATGACTTTCGGTCACACAGTATCTGTTGGCTGCATGCCTCGGGAGAATTCACCCTGTCTTCTTTGGTGCCATTGGCAAGAGTTCTGGTCTAATAATCAGCCGCTTGAGATAGACAGCCGAGCTCATCACATCTATCATAGTGAAATACAGCAACAAAATAAGCCCTTATCTGAAGTACCTCTGAAGCATTTCATGAAGCAGCATAAGTGAGCCTCGGTCCATGTAGGTTACCAGAGCAAGCGACTTTTTAGGAGTGGAAGTTAAGTGAGAAAAAGACAAGTTTTGGTGATTAAGTTGATAATAAGTTTATTTTTTTAGATGTTGGCAGCCATACAGTGATTCAGCATTATCGCGTTATCTTGTGCATATTAGCTGCCTACATTACTGTTCTGTCCCTAGTCTTAGGTCAGCAGTTTCCAGTGCTCTCCAAGATACAGGATAAGGAAACTTGAGTTCTCCTAAGTGGAGGAAAGGTAGTGAATAATAGCATTTGCAAAGTACCATGCCTCATAAAAATGTGTCGATGGGGGGAGGGTGTAAATCAGTTGGAAGAGGTGGAGGGTACTGTACTGAAGTAAGTAATAATAGAACAGAAGCAAGTGTGGTTGGGTCATAACAGCATTTAAATTGGACCCAGAAAGAGCTGTCAATCAGATGTTCATGACACCACCATGTGGTTTTCTTCTTCATATATTGCTATTACGTGTGTCAAGTTATGGTTGAAGGTTGAATAGGAATAGTAATCCATTGAGGTAGTCCTCCAAATGAAGTAGACTACCACTTGCCCATAATCACGGTAGTAGATTGATCCACAGTGAGACGTCCAGTACCTTAGGTAATTTTGATCCCAATTGCAAGCGGCTTTCGATAGTGCTTACGTCGGTATCACGATATCGCTGTTTGGGAGACCCCGTCAACTGGCCTGCATTGGAGTGGTTTGAATTACCCGCTCCTCAACGAAGATAGGAGAGGAATTACGGGCTGATTTTCAGTCAGTTTAGCCACACCAGACTTATTTGGGAATCTTGAACATGATCTCATGATCACGAATGGCGTTGGGATTGGGAAAATGGGGATCAAAATTGCTCTGGACCCTCAGAATCCGAAACTTGTGTGACAATCTAGCGTTGGTCAAGGCGAGTCTGAAACATTCTAGCAGTGAGCGTTCAAGAGGGTGAAGCGTTCGTCACTCTCCGCAGACACAAAATAGAGTTTTCAGAAGGATAAAGTAAAAAAAGGTCAAAAGTGCAAGCTGCAGAGGGAGTTGATGCATCCAGAGCAGTGTCGACTGAGTATAAGAAGAAGTAGTTCGTCGGACCTATTCACAGTAAGAATAGAAACATTTTGGATCCTTCAGGCGAAAAATGTGAAGTGCTTGAGTCACAAAGGTTGACAAGCCAAAATCTTGTCAGAAAAAAACAATTTGAAAGTGAGCAGGTGAGACCAGGGAAAAAAATTGGAACTTGAAGCACAGCGAGACCAGGAGTATAAAAGCTTATCAAAACATAAAATAGTAAAAAACACCAAAACGGGCATAAAGCAATGAAAAAACATCCGTGAAAGCACGACGCAACACCAGAAAAAAGAAAGAAGGGTATTCCAGTAAGTGCGTCAATCCACCATGCACTCAGGTTTCAAATAAGGTGCCTTGTCAAGGAAGTATGCTACCGGATTGTTCGAAATATATTACACAAATATATCGTATTTCTCAGATAACTTTTGTTATTTTGTGACGTTCAGTAAATAACATCAGACCGATAGTAGATTTTAGATACACATCAATATGCAGGTCACTTTAACATTCGGCGGTAGTCCTACGTCCATTGAGGAACTTATCGAAATCTGGAGTTTCTAGTTTGTGCGACTGGATGCATAGACTGGGAATGATAGAATAAATTTTGGTATTGATGTAATTAGCCCTTGTACCATTTTAGTAGCGGTACTCTTCGGACAAAAGTTTTGCTTTCATGTATTTCTCAACAATCCACACCATACCTAACGGCCGACAACATATTTTGCGCCTCATAGCGCTGTTCCAGCCAGTATAAGCTCATAGTTGACTGAATAAGAGATTCTGAAATACAGACAGAAGCTCCTGTGTAGTGGTTTTAGAATTGTATCACCTATTGTACGACGAACAAATCAGTTACCTTGAGGAAAAACGGATGGGAGAAGAAAGCTCTTGGGGAAGTGAAGTAAGTTCTGAAAATTACACTTCACAAGACTGAAAATGGAGGGCGAAGAAGTCAGCTGGTGTACACTAGCTCGTAAAAATGCATATTAGGTATATAAATTTGAACTGTAAGATGAGAGTAAGTCGTTAAATGCACCACAACCCAACGGATAAACTTTCTGGTTTGTAGATTTTATAGACGACTGTGAGATATGACGTGATTCATTTGAAAAAGCTTGTGTTTAATTTCTTGTTCATTGACGTATTGGGCATCGTAAGACTTTATCGCGCTCACTTTTAAATCCCTTGGCGCGTGCATACTTCACAGTTATGGAATCAGCGGGAGGCGGTCGAGGAGGTTTCCGTGGTTCTTTTGGAGCACGAGGAAGAGGTCGTGGACGCGGTCGTGGTCGCGGCCGAGGCCGTGGTAGAGGGGTTGTTGCGAAGGAATGGAAGCCCGTTACTCAGCTGGGTCGCTTAGTTTACGACAAAAAGATAACAACATTAGAAGAGATCTATATGTTCAGCTTACCAATCAAGGAGTGTGAAATTATCGACACGCTTTTAGGATCGAGCCTGAAGGACGAGGTGCTGAAGATCATGCCTGTTCAGAAACAAACTTGTGCTGGTCAACGTACTCGATTCAAAGCCATCGTTGCAATGGGTGATCACAACTGCCATGTTGGCCTTGGGGTCAAGTGTGCGAAAGAGGTTGCCACCGCGATTAGAGGTGCTATTATTCAAGCAAAGTTGTCGATCATCCCTGTTAGGAAAGGATATTGGGGTAATCAAATAGGGAAGCCGCATACAGTTCCATGTAAAGTCACGGGGAAATGCGGCTCAGTATCTGTTCGTTTGATCCCTGCACCCCGTGGCACCGGGATTGTCGGCGCCCCGGTTCCCAAGAAACTCTTGCATATGGCTGGTATTGAAGATGTGTACACTAGTGCACGTGGTCAAACTTCCACTCTGGGGAATTTCGGTAGGTTGTCTTTATTTTGTGATAACTAACAAACTATTCAGCCAAAGCAACTTACGCAGCTATACGGGCCACCTACGAATACCTGACTCCAGACTTGTGGAATGTGACTCCGAAAGCAAAACATCTTTTCGTTGAATATTCAGAATATCTTAGCAAAGTTTCAAAACAGGTTTGAATGAAAATAAAGTTTTTTCGGGATATCATTTTGTTCTGCTGATGTAAGTATGTAGTGGTATAATGCGTTTTTCTGCCAGAACTGTGCCTCGAATCCATTCCAAGGAGCATCTCTCCTCTGGGTTCATACAAACAGTGTTCTGAAATATAAAAAAACAAGGGTATTTAATGGTTTAGTGATTGTGAATTGGTCGCAGTAATAGTTGTACTAGCGAGGAGAGGGAGTTACAAGATTTCTTTGACACGCTAGAAATTTTTTAGGTCATGGCAACTCATTTTGTAGGTTTTGATCTTTGCAAACAGATTTTCTAACTTATGAGAGATACGTGAAATGGGTAGACTTTCCGGAGTCAACACTTAAAGACTTGTTATTATATGGATGAGGAAGGGTACTTATGTTCAAACTAACTAGGTGTATGGGAAAAGACGAAATGATTCGACCTGACATAAGTTTTCACTTTGAGCCGCGCGAGGAACCTTCCTGGGTGTAAAATTCCAGTCTAGAATCATCTTGTGAGGCATATATTTCTATATTTCGGTTTATCAACACGGAGTTGCTAGTTTCGTACGCATCTTTAACTCATAGAAAGCCGAAACGACCGCATATATTCTGATTACGTGTGCAACTGTTCACTCGAACACCGGTTTTCTTTCCCTCCTGCCTGGTTCTCTGACAGTTGCGAGCATGCCGAAACTTCGTTTGTGATATGGCTTCTAATAGCTGACTATCAGCTAGGGTTAAGTAGATTTAGCACTGTCGTCCGTACTCAAACAAATTATTGGTGCTGTCGTTAGATATTATCGTCCCTGAATTCTGGTATAACTCAACTGAAGTTCACTATTTAGAACGCTGGTTTGCAAGGCTATTTGGCTGACATGAATTGCAGGCAATGTGGTAGGACCATGACCTTCTGATGCATATCTTCAATAGCTGGGGAGTTTTCAAGATTGGTCTTTTTTTGTCCATAAATTCGCACGCATGTATGTCTAGTCCCTCCTCAAATGTCTTCGTTGAAGGGTTTTGTTTCAGTTTCGTTGGTAGGTCTGCATATCGCAAGAAGACGAAGGTTTTCTGAGAAATTCGAACAATCCAGTCATTTATTTACTTGTCAAGGCATTTTACGTGAAACATCAAGGGTTGCTCGGTAGATTTGGCTTGAATATGTGGATGGCATTCGGCAAATAATACTTCCTATATGATACATCTGATACCAAAACTGGAATGTAGATATGCTTGCCTAGTAATGTACTGTCAATAAATTAAGGGGGTGAATGTCTGCTGAACTGAACCAAATTTATTGCTTCTTGAGATGCAGTGGATATAATGGCTTTGACTGTTGTACAGGTTTGTTTAGTGTTCGTAGTATTATACATCACCCGGAATCTGTAATTCCAAAGATTCAGTCAGGTGAGCAAAATCCTGTGGATACCCAATTCTACTGATTAGGCATCAAACTTCAAATCACATCATCAGTTGCGTGTGCAGATATACCTTCTGATTGCTGTTATCCCAGTGGTCCGACGTAGACGAGAACGTATTGGATGTGGATTACTTGAGTGGTTAAGAAATATCTACTTGTCGTTCTATCTGTTGGATTTCATGCAGTTATGCTAGTGTGAATCTTCCGTCCTCTAAATTTAAGGTGCTTAGCATCATACTCGAATAATTTGAGATTGGTCCTGCTTCCAGTCTTCCAAAGTATTTGGTGGGGTTGATGCATTTTTTTGTCGCATTTATTGCTAGGAGATTGTCTGATAGATATTTATGAGCATCCATTTTTCCTTCATGTATTTTTCGATAATCCACATCACATCTAACAGCTGATAACATGTTTTGCTCTTCAGGACACTGTTTCAGCTAGTTTAGGCTCTTGGTTGACTGAGTAGGAGCTTTCGAAGTTCAGGCAGATAGAAACCGATATCGAAGTCTACAAAGATGTGTGATAATAAGCAATCTGAAGATAAAGTTTAGTGCGACCATTCAAGCTTTAGATTTTGAGTAGTGAATACATCTGAGCTGTTGTGACCGATTTCTAGCCATGTCACTACGAGTCACCTACTGACTCTACGTCTCGGGAGCCCCAACTAGACAGTCTACATCTCCCCACACGACTCAAACCAACAGTAAGAGACTTCGTTGACTGGTGCCACGCCTTGGTCTGGCCGTCCTGAATCCCCCTTCCAACCTAATCCAACTTCCACTGGCATGGCCCGCCGAGGTAGGCAGAGGTTTGGGAAGTGCAGTTCATGCCGAAGCTATCTGTGTTCACGACCTCATCAATCAACTTGCCTAGTTCCTCTGCTGACCTCAACACCGCTCACACAGTGATTCCACCAAACATGAGCAATGCGACGAACAAATCTGATTAATATCGTGCAATCGTTTCATATCTTCTAATTTCAACGACCATGTCTCGACCGCATAACAGAACAGAACGGACTGCAGCTCGGTATTTACGTCCTTTGATAAGTAGTCGGATATCTCATCGGCACCATAGATGGTGCAAGTTGGCAAATGCTAAACCGGCTTTAGGGATCCGAGCTGAGATTTCATCGGGCTAGCGAAACTCCCCAAGTAAGTAAAGTAGTTGACACATCCCACCACTTCACTCCGTATAACTAAACTAGGATTACTTGCAGCAGACCAGTTCATAAGCATCATCTTACATTCGACAAGTGACAGCAGAACGCAAGCCAAATATACTCATTTATCTGTCCTATTGTGGTGTATGCACTACATCGGTAACATAAAGGTTAGGCTTAGAGTATAGGGTAGAGTAAGTAGGTCAGTTGGTGAGGTTGTAAACCACGCTTAGCCCTATTAGAAATATTAACCAAGGTAGATCTAGGCTAGTTAAAGGTCACAGATGGGCAGACTGAAGGACGTTATCAGTGCATAAAGTCTCTGGAAGTGTCTTATCAAAGTATAGGAATGTTGAATTCCTGGTTGAGATGGGCATCCGAGACGAAATCGCTGTTTAGTGAATCAAGGTGATGTGGCTTAAAATCGACCCCAGTGGTACATATGTATCCACTTTATCGTTGTCCTAATTGACATGTCACGTTTCTTTATTCGTCCTAGCCCCTCTTCGTTTCTTCTGGTAGCTGTCTACGACTTTTGATCCCATTTTACTCCTGTTTTTCTATCTTTCACATTGGTGCCTCGCACCTTGGTTTGCTGGCAACTTTCAGTATCACCAAGTCTCATCGATACAGACGGGACGGGTGGGTTTTTCTTCTAATCTTTGACTTTTTTCAATAACTAAATAAGCTGACGTCTTTCTTTGCTTACCTACATCAAAAATGTTTTCTGACCTACTTCACCTAACATCGTTGTTTGTAAAAGTCGAGTATGTGAACATCTATTTGGTTACAAAGGTACAAAATCAGCTCACTGAGTAAATACTAGGTGTGGTTCGCACAAATTTCTACTACCGAATAAATATGATATACAGAAAAAAACTTTAACCTAAGGAACTGAAGTTTCCTAGTTGATTTATGGTTATCCATTTCAGTAAAAAGCGTTCTTATGGATATGTAGATTTGTAAATACATCTGATGTTGCTTTGAGCCCATTTACCACGTCTTACTATATGTGGTGCACTACTATCCCTCATTTATTTCTTGACTTCAAAATATGTTGCACTTTATGTATTTTGTCTTCCTTTTTCTCTACTGTGGTAGTCATCGGATCATTTCACAGGTGGATGCACTAATTTCATCATTTGATAAGCCAGTAGAACTGCGTTTTTCACTAAATTAATAAGGGTCGGATGTTTTATAGAGTCAGTTATTCAGGGTTCTTCAGATGTTCGCTAATTGCAACCAGTAATTTGGTACCAGTGTCTTTGAAAAACTGATTAAATTTGATGCCACCAATAAGTGGCTGACACTCATATTAGCAGGTACGTTGTGTAGTCATTTCTATTTATGAAATGAGTTTGTGAGTACCACCAAAATATACGTTTACTGAATGGGGCGAAAAGCCCTAGTAATTAAAAAGCAACTTATTTATAAAAAAACGACTACAGATCTTAAATCTTAGCGCTGAATTTCATTTTGATATTTATGGACTGAAGTGAATTGACAGTTAAAAGAATACTGAAATTAATGATCGCTTAGAACTTTTCAATTGCACCAGCTCGTCTTCAAAATTGAACTTATCCTGGTCTAAGTAGCAGTCATATGCTTCACTATCTTATTTATCCTTTGTTGTGCTGTTTTTAGTTAGATAAGTACAGATCACCTTTAATATTCAAATTGAATATTTTTTATAATTTCTAGAATTTTAAATGAACTTGGTATTTGATGATTGTACATTCATTGGGCAACGAATAATTGTTTCCACAAGTTTTTCAAAAAACAAATAAAAAACCCTATTTTATCGCTGTAGGGGGTAGCAACGGATCCGGCGTTGTTGGTTCTGATTAGTGTGATATACAATAAGATGACTTCATCTTGTTATTAATATTTTTTATTCTAATGACATTTGATCTGATTGTATATAACTGAGTGAGGTACTGTCCTAAAAATTCATAACAGTAATCACTATATAGATGAAATTCCTCAGCTGTTGACAGCTTATAAATAAAGGTTTTATGAGTTCAGTGCAAAGGATTGGGTGGGTGACATGTTATCAATTTTGGCATGAGTCACAAAGTCATCTCGTTTATCACTTAGCTCCTTTCTTATTTTATTGCTATTACCTTCAATAACAGGCAGGTTTTTCAAAGCTAGTCTAACTCAACGCTAGGTTATGACTTGGTTTGTTTGAAATCTCTCCCAATAAAGCAGCATACATGTATTTAGCAATGCTAACCACTTAATTTGTCTCAGGTTCTTATGTTCACGATCAAAAGATCATGTCGCTCCATCTCATTGCTTGCAACAGTTGTGAACTCATCACTAAAAAACTCGACTTGATTGTAGTGTTAACAGCAATTTGGTACCTGCGTTAAACTTTGAATGCACAATGTAGTAAAGTTTTCACTTCTTTATCGTGTTAAAGCTTATTATTTTAGATGTAAGATTGCGGTAAGAATTTATTCACTTCTTCACCTGTCATCGGATTTTTCAGCTGAGTTGTTCTAAGGTCTACTTTATTATTACGGGAAGGATAAACAGAATACGCAGTTCACTAATGTGGTTAAGTTGTGTTTCGTCAATGCTTAGTGATTGCTAATTGCCGGAAATGACACACACAACGAAAGTAATTAGAATTGATATATAGTGTATTTTAGAGGTTTCATTATAGAACGTAAGGTCTCAGGTTTCATTTCACAGGTGTGCCATGAAGTAAGCTTTTTTAGTGACTCCTTCAATTCACAAGTGATAACAGCTTCTTCTTTTGTCTATCTTACTGTATATGGTCAGTTTCATGAATAAAGCTTTATGGTATCATCCAACTTTCATCCTTCTGTCCTTCTATTTTGTTCACTTCTATGCACTGATAACAACTTTGGTGGGTGTGAATGTCAACTTATCTTTTTGTATTGGTAAAGTATGCGCGCCGATGCATAGCATACAGAAAACGGTAGTTCTTGATGAAATCAAACTATACGAACATTCTGTATTTTAACTTTCATGAACATTACATTAAGAAGCTGTCTTGATGACGCGAGTACTCTTCTCTATCTATACTGACTATGAAGAAACGTAAGATTTGCCGTTATGGGACTCGTAAAGTAAAAAATAAATTATAATTTCTGGTTACTATAGTTATATGATACAATAACTTTCTCTCCTTTTTCACCTTGTTGTTTTGTTTATTGATCTGCTGATATAAGGTATAGCAGTATTGTAAAGTTCCATGTGGATATTGACTGACAGACAAAACCTGTGTTATGATGCCACCCATTTAGTGAAGTGGTAATTGGTAACACTGGAACCAAGCCACAAGAATTCAAGATATATTTCAGTATTTTAACTGTTTTAATTTCGTTTTCTTAACTTCATGTGTACGTATATCAAGCCTTCAATTGCAATGAAAGTTTTGCTGAAATAGGAACTATTGATTTGTCACTTTGAAGCAACCGATTTCACGTTCTCTAGTCCTGAGACTTGCTGAATTTTATCCATCATTTCGCATTGTGTTTACCAAGCTAGAAGGCTCACTATCGCAGTGCACTTTGCCACTAAGTGCCAACAAGCAGGAAATGCAGTTGCAGAGCTTCCAGCTGATTGCCTGCAACCAGCTAACATCCATCAGAATTGAATGTATCCTACTGACTTACATCACATCTTTGAAATATTCGTCTAACAGGTCTTGCAAAAAATACTTCACTATGGCTTTAGCAGATACTCATGTTAACCTTTGAGATTGAAAAGTCATATATATTAACTGCAATAAAAATTAGACACATAGGCTTCTCATAATCATCAATTTAAACTGGGTAGTAAGAAGGTTATCAGGTTTCCTTTGAGTATGCCATTTGATACACCTGTTCAAAATATTAGGGGTTCGCAAAACAGATATCCGCTTATGCTATGATGGGTGTGAGTATTTAGGACACAACTTCCAGTTATCTAACCGCATCCGTTATCTCAGCGATATTTTCTGTTATTATCAAAAAGATCCTCAGTATTTACTTTGACGAACAGCTGGGTACTTGCGTGAAACCACGAAAATTCAAACCTAATATGCATTAGTAATGGCCTTTTATAAAACGCATGCCGAAAAAATAATTCTATCACCGTGAAACGATTAACTGTGATTAGATATTTCATTTTATTTGATCCTGATATATTCTTTTGATTCCATTTTTTTGTAGTATTGTCTTTTGGTTTAATCTGAGCATAAGTGACTGGGTTTTTCCAGAAAATATAAAAAATCATAACTCGCTGTCTTATGTTTTCTTCACTCAACGAAACACAGGATACTGATGGTCATCAACCATATAACAAATCAGGTCTACTGGTTTTTTCAGAGTTTTTTTATCGATAGGTGCGAACTGAGTGATAACTGCAAGTTTAAAGGCCAAAAGTGTGGTAACAGTACAATGACAAGGAACATCTAGAAAAATGGACCAACAGAACATAAGATCCATAACTCTCCCTATCTTTTAGTTTAATTAATATCTTACACATACATTCTGAGATTGAAACTAATTGTTCGAGATTTTTTTTTAATGATCCTCTGTAAAATAACAGTTTTTTCGGATTTACCGAAAGCTATGATAAATGGAGGTCGCTATGACTTCGGATATACCCGAAGACTGATAGACAAACTCATATGACTTTCTCAGCTAAATAAACTGAAGGTCTTGACGTCGAGGTCATCATGCAGGTAGACATCATCCAGTTAAGGAAAATGACAGTTCATCACTGTCACTTTTAAGAAAGCAAGTCGTAGTTGGCAGGGATCTGTCATATTCAGCTCTTACAGCCATTGGTGACAGTAGATGGGAAATAGTTACAAACAGTTAAGAACTCAAAGTTCTTCGTAGGTTATTTCCATCAAACTGACTTAACAATGATAAAAAAGATAGTAGATCTAATACCACAGACGATTTTAAGTATTATAACTATAACTAACCTAGAGCTACTCATAATTTTAAAATTAATTCATTTGTTTAACCTGGTACCATTGTGGTTTTCCATCAGCTACTGACAGTCAGGGTGAAATCAGTTTTATGTAGACGCTAAAAATTGTGAAAAGCAGTTTTCATATATATATATATATATATATATATATATATATATATATATATATATATATATATATATATATATATATATATATAGTTTCGACATCTGATGGTTGCTTAATCCCTTCGAATTTGGTATGAGTAGCCTAGAATTGATATACGTGTTATTTAGTGAAAGCAACTAGTGTGCTTTATAACATTTCATGTTAATCCCCTAACTTGTGTAATCAGAATTTAAATTTGAAAGTAATGCCTGGAGGTAGCATTTGACCCCGTCAATTGAGACGTGTTGTGACAGTGTCTGACTGTGAAGGGACTACCAAGCGGGTGTTTAGAGCTGTATACCTGAACTCGGCAGTGTAAGAGCTTATAGAAAGTGACGAGAATCAGTGGGTTCCACCATGGATACCTTTTGTCACTATTATTCTGTAACTTTGTTACAGATATGCTAACGGGTACAACCCTAGTTGGCTCCACCTTTATGGGGATCGACCTACTCGTAGTAACGCATCTGTCTAGTTGGAGTACACGGAGGGAATGTTCCTACTGGGTGAGGACTTTGACGAAATGCAGTCTTGTGAACGCCTCGACCAGAAGTTTGGCATGCAAATGTCAAATGTACTATGTTACTTCATGACTGGTCAGCAGCCACTTCCAGTCTAAGGCAAGTTAGTTGATCAAGTGAACCTTTGCTGACTGAAATAGCTTGAACATTGATGGATTCGCCGGGCCACTGATTACCTTCAGGTGAGATGCTTATCGAAGTAGAAATGGGTTTTAAAAAAGTTAAGGGTGGACAACCTAAAATGTGGCATCAATTCATGAACCGTGTAGGGAGATGTCCAAGAGGCACTGGGAATCAATGGTTGAAGATTCTTCGTGATATGAATCACAATGTAGCCACTCTCTGACATCTCGGAATTCGGACATTTTCATTAAATCTCATTTTTAAAATTCCTACTCTCATGCATACTTTTCTATTTTAATAGCAATTTAACAAATCATCTCTTACATGCTGATATGTATTGTAGTAGCTGAAACCGATGCAACTTTGTGTCACATTCTTCGTTGACGTACCTGTATGTTTGTCTGATGTTAGCCGCTAATTGGAAACAGTCGCAGATATTGGGAACAGTAGGAATAATTTTATGGCTAACTAGAAACTTATAACGCTTATAAACTTTCTTCGAAAATCTTGACTTTTCCTAAACACATTTGAAAGCTTAGGATCTCAATATTACGCTAACAGTTGTCTTAGAGTGTCAAAAACCCGAAGCTGCGGAGCTCAACACAAGTTTTTATAGTTTGTAGGTCTCAATGCAACTCAGATCACAGAATATTCTGCTCAAATACGAAGTATGTAATAATATTACGAACCACTTGAAAACAAAAAAACACAATGCGATTTACAGTTAAAAACCATTTTACAGAATTCCATGCTAAAGAGTCAATTTTGTTAAAGAAGTCTTCTTGACTTCTTGTGTTGTGATATTTTTAATACTAGACAGTGTAAAAAGGGATGCCTAAAGAAATAAGTCATCTAGTTCTATATCCTTGTTGTAAGAATCATATCTCAAAGGAAATTGCCACTGGAGGCGAATGGGTGACCACTTCAAAATCTACCGACAACATGAATGAACTCAAGTCGGTTATCTAAGATGGGTCATTATGTGATCATTTTTGATACAGCATTCCCATATACCTAAATATCGACAAGAGGTGTCTCTGAATGGTGTCATGGGACCATCCAAGTGATATATGTGTTCCGGACCATTTTGCATTCTAAGTCACACATAAAAAGAAATTGAGTACTTTAGCTATTACGCTCTACCAAGTCCTCTTTTTCTGTTGCATCATAATCCTATCGTTCTAACTTAATGCTCAAGTGGGGATGATCAACTATACCTTTATAAATTAGGTTTACACCAACTAAGCATTGGTGTAACAATAAACTAGTAAATCTAGATAAACAAATTAGTATTTCACACACTATTAAATTTATAAGCTGTTTTGCTTACCTGAATTATATATTCCCAATTAATGTGGAAGTCTTCCTCAAATCCAGCTGGGCTAAATTTTGGGAACTCGCTGTTGAAGTTTGGTAGGTCTTTGAAGTCACTCCAGGTGCTAGTTGTTGGAGTTCCTGTGAATGGCGATTATATCAATTAAAACTACCTAGTTTCCGAAATATAAGATATAGCTGTCCTATTTCACAATCACCAGGAAACAAAACTTTTCCCTGAACCTAGGTGAGGAGATAGAGCATGGTTCAAATGTTTACCATTTCATAGACAATGCATCCAAAGCTCCAGACATCGATCGAATGACCGTATTTCTTCGTGCCAAGTAGTACTTCAGGTGCTCGGTACCATAGAGTCACTACTTCGTGACAGAGTGTTCGATTAGGGATAGAAGATGTTCTAGAAAGTCCGAAATCAGTTATTTTTACAACGCCATATGTGGTTATCAGTATGTTTGAGGGCTTCAGATCCCGGTGTATGACGCAGTGTTTGTGGCAAACAATCAGACCATCAAGCAATTGGCCCACAAAAGACTATTTTCATAAGTAGTTACCGTCATAATTTGAGAATGTGCAGACTACCCTGGCGAGTTCGTCCGGTAGACAGCGACGTGGAATTTTATTTTCCAGATGGGAAGCTGAAAACTTATCCATGAGTTCCTTCAGATCCCATTCAGCCAGTTCATAAACTATCGAAATTTGTCTCCTTTGATGAAGCACTTCATGAATTCTAAGTAAAAGATTTTTTTGTATATCTGCAACACACTATACCTGATAATGTTATCACATTTGAAGTTATTGAGTTCTAGTATTATTCCGATTTCTCTTATTGCTGAGGCAGGTATGCAACCTTCAGAACTTGATTAAAGTAAGTATTCAGAATAATGATATGAAATCTTGTTTACCTATCCATTAATAACTTTTTGATTGCGTAGCGATGTCCAGTATCTTTATCAGTGGCCAGATACACCGTGCCATAAGTTCCAGAACCAAGCTTTTTACCTGTGATATACTTTGCAGTCACTGTATGATTTTTTACGCATTCCTGATTAACCCTATCTGCAACTTCACGTAAACCCATTTCCACTTTGAAATATCTTGTCTTTCAATGTCCAAAACCACCATGTTTCTGTTCTGTGATGTATATTCAACGTTCAGTTTTCAGTAGTAAGGAGAGTAGGGAAGTTGTCTTCCCTTAATCCTTGCGATGGATATCTCTAAAGAGATTTAGTTTCGCTTAAAAAGCGTTGACTGACGAAGCTGATACAACTTACTGAGGTAATGACTTTTGAGGCATTGACCACACGATTAGAGGAACGCAGATCCACTCTAAGTTGATTCGATCGCAGCTTTTGGATTTGCCATTTATGATTCGGAAAATAATTGAACCTAGCAAAAGAGAAAGTTACGGTATCAATGCCGAAGTCATTTTTAAGTATACGGAATGCCATCATGAGATTGTAGCGTCACACACTTCCCGAAATCAATAGCCTAGGGTTCGACGACACTCAACATTCATGTTGACCTTGATAGTTTAACTGGACTCGCCAGGCTGAAGGCACCCGGTCAAGTACCCTCGCCATCTGGCACGCTGTCATGTTACGTTGCACTGCTCGTATTCGATTCTCTAGCCAGTTAGTTGAAATGCATCGGTATCTTGGAACAACTACTCACATATACTATTCCATCCGACTACGCTGTTGTGTTGTTCCTTGGTCTCGTATTCTTGGGTATAAAACAAGTTTGAATAATTAGTGACTGGTCGTGGCGTCTGTCAAGTTCGCATCAGGACAAATCCTAAAAGATCACCCCTTTATCTACAGTAAGACAGCGGGAATAAGCTTAGTCGACCTAATCGCTCCTCATAGGACAATACAAAATCTTACTGTCCGCTCTTTGAACACTCGAGTGCATCAGTAGCTTTTCTTAGGTATGGACTACCCTCCTGAATTCAATATTCAAGGTGGAATCTGGCGTTATTTAAGTACAGTATCCCGACCAAAACTTTTGAAAGCTCTAGGGACAAGATATAATGTATGGAACCACTTGCTGTTGCTGAATTGAAGCGTACTAAAGTTCTCAAATCACGGCTCCTGAAGTCACTTAGGTCTTTTGGTTGAAAGACCAGGAGTAGTGGTACGCCATTAACAGAAAACTGCAAACAACTGGTATGAATAACGTGTATGGTTGCTTTTTGCCTAAGGTAGTTTCCAGGCGCTAACATTTGAAACAACATGCCACTTCATCCAAATACTCGTTAAAAGAATGCGCAGTAATACTCTGACTCCCTAGAGGCTTACATCATCAGTGAATAGCAGCACCGGAGAGTTGGGCGTTTGAGATAATTCGGTGGCATATCGAGACAAGAAGATGATCTACGTTGTTCCTTGAAGAATTTCGTTCTTCACTGCTTTCTATCCCAATACTGTCCCACAAATCCTCACTATTTGCCTTCTGTCATGCAGAACGTTTCTAATCTAGGCTTTCAGAGTAGCAAGGAACCGGAAATTGGAGAGCTTTTACCGTGGTTTTATGAGACGCTATCGCATGCCCAACCGAACTCCGGTTACTGTCACGCCAACACGCGTTTAGAGCATCACCGTTCCACATGGTTCTCGAAAACGATGGCAATGACTGGTGTCTAACCGGTGATTACCGACGGCTTAACGCCAAAACAACACCGGCCTGCTACCCGATACCTCACGTTTACGATTTGACTGCAATGTTACGCCGAATGAACATTTTGTCCGAAATCGATCTGGTCAAAGCTTACAATCAGATACACATGGCAGCAGAAGATATCGTGAAGACAGCCATTGTTACTCCTCTCGGTTTGTTTGAACTCCTGCGCATGCTATTTAATCTTCGGAATGTGGCGCAAACATTCCAATGCTTTATGGATGATGTCTTCCGTGGCCTAAATTTTTTCCACGTCTACACCGATGACTGTCTAGTTGCGAGTCCAGATAAGGAAACCCACCTTAAACATTTGTACCTCGTATTCGAAAGGCTAAAAAACATGGCATCACAGTAAACTTGCAGAAGTGTGGAATAGGAGTTGGATCACTCAGCTTACCTGGCCACACCAGTGACCACAAAGGTATACGCCCATCGAGAGATAAAGTGACGGCTATCACGAACTATCCAGAGCCGACCGCTGTGAAGCAGCTCCGCACCTTCAATGGCCTGGTAAGTTATTACCGAGGGTTTATCCCCAACTGTGCCTCTGTCATGAGACCACTCACAGATCTACTTCGAGGGACTACGAAGTTCGCGACTCTGGACGACGTGGTTAGACTTGCTTTTTCTAAGGTCAAGGAGGCCATTTCGAACGCAACCATGCTCATGCATCATGACCCCAATGCTCCTTTGAGTATTGCTGTTGATGCATCTGACTCAGCAATTGGAGCACTTCTGCAACGGTTGACTGACAACCAGTGGCAACTTTTAGCCTCTTTCTCGAGGCGGCTGCAAGAGGCGGAAACAAGACGCAGTATATTTAATGGCGAACTATGTACTGTTCTGTACGCCATTTTCGACATTCGGTGGAAGGTCGTGATTTCATTATTTTCACAGACCACAAACCGTTAACCTTTTCCCTCAGCTCGGTGTCTGACAAATATTCCCCACGCGAGTCACGACATCTGAGTTACATTTCACAGTTCACGTCAGACATCCGCGACATTTCTGGAGCGAAAAACTCCGTAGCCGATGCACTATCTCGAATAGCTTCGACAAACCATATCGAGGGCGTTGACCTCGTTGAACTAGCTCGGCGTCAAAAGGAAGACCTTGAGCTGCATTATGAGTTGTCGCCCACAACTCTCAAGCTGCGACTTTGTCCGGGTGGATCGGATAAGGATGTAATTTTGTGCGATGTTTCTGCTAGTCAACCACGCCCAATAGTTCCGAAGAGTTGTCGATGCAACGCCTTCAAAACGTTGCACAAACTGTCCCATCCAAGTATACGAGCCACCATTAGGCTTGTTGCACAACGTTTCTGCTGGCCTGGGATGAACGCAAACGTTAAAGAGTGGGACCAGTCGTGCTTAGCTTGTCAGAGGTGTGCAGTCACGCGACACACGGAATGCTCTTTGGGTTCATTTCTAGCCCCTGACATGCGTTTCGACCACGTCCATATAGATATTGTAGGACCTCCACCGGAATCCGATGGATGTGCTTACCTTTTCACTCGCGTGGATCGTTTCACACGATGGCCGGAAGCAGTATCTATTACGGATGTTACTGCCGAAACGGTAGCTCGTGTTTTCGTAGAAAGATGGATCGCGAACTTCCGATGTCTATCTTACGTAACAACCGGCGGTGGACGCCAGTTCGAGTGTGGGTTAGTTCACGCTGTAACCGCACTTTTAGGTTGCACCCGGTTGCGAACCACAGCCTACCATTCACAAGCATATGGCATGGTGGAGCGTTTCCACCGACAGCTGAAAGCTTCCCTCTCAGCTGCAGACACACCCCAGTGGACCAAGGCTCTGCCTCTAGTCCTACTAGGCATTCGTAACACGTTGAAAGTTGATGCTGGATGCACCCCTGCAAAACTCATCTATGGGACCACTCCTTGTCCACCAGGTGAATTTGTTTCCCTTTCAACTTTCAAACAAGTTTCCGATAGGGCGTCTTGCGTAACTAGGCTTACAAACGCAATGCGTTCAGTTAGGCCTTCTCCGGTCAGACCTCAAACGACTGATGTCTTCGTTCACCCCAGTTTACAAAAGACATCACACGTGCTTATTCGCCGCGACGCCGTTCATCGATTACTTGATCCACCTTACGATGGGTCATCCAAAGTGATCAAGCGACACGAGAAGTTCTATACAATCGAGCTAAACGGAAGTGAAGACACTGTCAGCATCCACCGTTCGTAACCAGCTTGTTTCGAAGGCAATCCCATCAAATTACTAGAGCCGACCGGCAAATAGCCCAGTTAAACAAATTCCTAATGATGCGCATGGAAGGATGCTGGTGTGACAGCCACCGGCATGACAAAAACCACGATCAGGTCGAACCGTCAGTTTCCGGAGTACCCGGGGTACCATTTTTTGATTTTAGATTTTTTCGACGCACCATTTTTTATCTGCTGAGATTGCGAAAATTCTCCTATATTTTACCTTTTGTATTAATTTTGTTACTACCACGTAGTGAAACATTTTCAGAAAAATATTGGAAGTAGGCATTAAATCTATTTTCGATATGTTTATATGTAAGTTTTTCCCCGTTTTTACGAAACGTTTTAGTGACATTAAAGACTTTTATTCACATTCCTGGTGCGACGATCATTGAACTGAACGTTAGACAGCACAGGATAGCAATCCACGTACCATCCGACTGACTGTATTTTGTCTTCAATTCGTCGCGACATCCTAGAATAAGTTCTGACACCTAGAAGCCGCTTCTCGCAGTGAGCCCACCGGAAGAGTTTTACCAGCGGAGAAACCGTTGGGTTTTTACTTCTGACTGGTATCGTCTTGCAGTCCTAACGAACCTACTGGAGGGGAGTGATCTGCAGCGCCACACACTTCCCCAGAATCAATAGCCTAGGGTTCCGCGGGATTCAACGTTGATCCTGACCTCCATGGTTTAACTGGACTTGCGAAGCCGAGGGCATCTGTTCAAGCCTCCTTGCCATTTGGCACGCTGTCGTGTCACGTCGCACTGCTCATAATCGACTCTCTAGGCAGTTGGCTGCAACGCATTGCTATCTTGGTGTGACCTCGCAAATATACTATTTCATCCGACTATGCTGTGGCGTCCTTTCTTGGTCTCGCATTTGTGGGTATATAACAAGTTCGAATAATTAGTGATTGGTCTTTGTGTCTGTCATGTTCGCACCAGGACAGCTCCTGAATCTATAAACACGGGATCTGTTGGCAGCCTACATTCACCGGTTGCAGCCCATTTTTTCTCGTGATGATGGGGTTTGTCAAGCAGGAGTGTTATGCACGGAAACCGTGTGATTATTTGGCCGTTTAATTCAACAATTTTGGGTACCCTTTGGTGAGCTGTTTTTACTAAAACCTTGTTAACTGTGCTAGTTGGACTCATAGAGCGATAGTTAGTCACCAGCCGGAGACTAGCAGCCTTAAGGACTAGAATG